TAATGCCCAAAAACTACAGCTGCATATGTAAAAAAAAAATACACCTGTGTACGACAATAGGATTCCGGCTATTAAATGAACTCAAAAATGGGTTTCCTTCCTCTCCTTACTATTCTTTCTTTGGGAGAATAGTCAGATGTTCTGTTTTTAAATAGCTACAGAACTTTATCTGGGGTGAAAATTCCATTCAATCAGACTTGTCATGGTTGGAAGGAAACCATACAAAGGGACTTAGGTCATTATGTGGTTGTGTTCTACATGGGTGTTTCAAAATAAACCATATCTCTCATTTTGTTACTGTTTACAAAACGTTTTATCTTGTTTGTTATTGCAATCATCTGTTTCCTCCATTCTGCAGCTGAATCTGTTTGGGTTTTGTGCACAGCTGTGCATGCTCTTATCATATATTTACATTCGAAAACGAAGGGAAAATTATTTGTTTAAACCACCATAAAAATTTGAATTCCCTCTCACAGTCTGGATTTTGTTAATATAAGCTCTATGTCCTCTTAGGTTCCTTTATGCATCTGTCTTGTTTTGAAGAGCCTGAAAAACCTATTTGCAGTTCTTGCTGTTTTGAATGCTGGAGTTCTTCTATTCCAGATATTTTACAATGAATTAAAAAAAAGTACAGCATAAGCATAAATGATAGAAAGGATAAAAAGAGTCAACCATTTGATTATTTTTTTAAAAAAACACACATTAAAACTTTGTAAAGAAAAGAAAACATAAAACATCCTGTTAAAATATATTTCCATCAAAGTATCGTATATACTTGAAAGTAAGCCGACCCGAATATGTATGGAACCGAGCATATGGCGAGGGTGGGAAATGCAGCAGCTACTGGTAAATTTCAAAATAAAAATAGATAGCAATAAAATTACACAAATTGAGGCATCAGTAGGTTAAATGCTTTTGAATATTTACATAAAACTGTAATTTAAGATAAGACTGTCCAACTCTGATTAAACCATTATTCTAACCTTCTTCAATGTAAATGTGCTTACGTATCCTTCCAATAACAAAAGAGTAAAATAATAAATTTAATAACAATAATAATAAAGTAAAAATAAATGTAGTAATAATAATAATAAATAGTAAAATAATAAATGTAATAATAATAGAATAAAATAAAGAAAATAAAGAAAAAAACATGGATGTGGCTCACAAATGGAACTTTGAAAAAGGAGACGGAGGGCCTGATTCTGGAAGCCCAAGAACTATTAGAACCAATACCATCAAAGCCAGAATTGAAACGACAGATCTCAAATGTAGACTCTGCAAGGAAGCAGATGAAACAATAGATCACATCCTCAGCTGCTGCAAAAAGATCGCACAGACTACAAGCAGAGGCATAACACTGTTGCTCAGATGATTCATTGGAATTTGTGCCACAAGTACCATCTGCCTACAACAAAGAACTGGTGGGATCACAAGCCGGAAAAAGAGTTTTGGAGCACAATACTCCTGATCTCATGATCGTGGAAAAGCTGACATGATATGAGGATTTGAGGATCAAACTGCAAAGACTCTGGCTCAAGCAAGTCAAGGTGGTCCCAGTGGTGATTGGCACACTGGGTGCAGTGCCTAAAGACCTTGGCTTGCACTTAAACACAATCAACGCTGACAAAATTACCAGCTGCAGAAGACCACCTTACTGGGATCTGCATGCATTATTCGCTGATACATCACACAGTCCTAGACACTTGGGAAGTGTCCGACCTGTGATCCAATACAACAGCCAGCAGAGTGTCTGCTGTGGACTCATCTTGTTGTGTTTCAAATAAGAATAAAATAATAAATGCAATAATAACAATAATAAATAGAGAAAATATTAACTGTAGTAAAATAATAATAATAGAATTAAATAATGTAAATGTAATAATAGTAATAATATATAGACTAAAATAATAAATTTAATAAAATAAAAAATAACAACAGAGTAAAATAATAAATAACCTTGACTCAGGTATAAGCGGGGGGGGGGGGGGGTCAGCTTGAGTATATACGGTAGGTTAGGAATCAAAACCCCTGCCTTAATTTTTAAGAGCTAATTTCTCCCTGACACTGGAAAGAGGGCAGACAGGACCAACTGAGCCTCGTGTGGAAAGGAATTCCACAACATGAGAGTGGCTACCAAGAAAGGTCTCTTGTTTCTTCAAGAATTGAACCTGTGGTCATGGTGGATAGAGAGAGAGAGGTGTGTTTTCCTGAGAACTTAAAAGTCAGACGGGCTCAGATAAAAATATGTACTTTCTTCAGAAAGACAGTTTACTAACTTGCTTTGTCAAATAGTCAAAACAAATCACAACTAATCCTCCTTCAGATTGTATTAGACAAGAGTTCCCCCTCATTTCTTCTTCTTCTTTCTTTCTTTCTTTCTTTCTTTCTTTCTTTCTTTCTTTCACAGTTTTGTATACTGAGCTTCTCAACCTCGTTGAGGGACTCAGCCCGGTTTACAGCCATAAAAACATATACATTCATTAAAATATCATATATCACAAATTACACATCAACTTTAAAATACACTAAATATAAAACTACAGTGGTCAGTCGTCCTATTAAGATGGATCTATATCCACTTCCATCCAGAGTCCTATGGTGTTGTCTCATTCCTCGAAGGCCTGACTCCACAGCCACGTCTTCACCCGTTTCCTAAATGTTAGGATGGATGGGGCGGTTCTGGCCTCCAGAGGAGAGAGTTCCAGAGTCGCGGGGCCACCACCGAGAAGGCCCTGTCCCTCGTCCCCACCAGGCGCGCTTGCGAGGCCGGTGGGACCGAGAGCAGGGCCTCTCCAGATGATCTTAATCTTGATGGTTCGTAGGGGAGAATAAGTTCGGAGAGGTAAACAGGGCCGGAGTCGTTTAGGGCTTTATAGGTCAACACCAGCACTTTGAATTGTGCTCGGAAGCTAATTGGCAGCCAGTGGAGCTGTCGTAACAGCGGAGTGGTGTGCTCCCTGTACCCAACCCCCGTTAGTAATCTGGCTGCCGCATCTCTCATCATTGACTGGGCTGGCTAGAGTTGATAGGAGTTGTTCTGCTGATTTGGTTGCGAACATTGAGGCCTCGAAATGTACCTAATATGGAGCTTTTAACATCAAAGCAGAGAGCCCTTTCTATTGTGGAATGTGTGTATGTGTTACTGAGACAGTTAAGCTCCAGGCAGAACACCAGTGTAACTATCAACATTAAGATTCTAGGACAAATTGAGCAATCCTAATACAAAAATCAGAAATACTCCAGAAACTGAAACATTGTGCTACCAGCTGCCCTCTTCTGCCTTTGAAGTGGCAGCTTCCATGTTCCTCCTTGTTTGTTTGCAGAGGGAGAAGTGGATAATTTGCAGACTCCCTGGAGATCTCTTGAAGATAACTGTACTGTATCGGCCTCACTCTGAGATCCTCAGTATCTGAGATCCTCAGTATCTGAGATCCTCAGTCTCTCACCAGCTTCACACCTCATATAATACACAAGTAGCTAGCAGACGAGATGCGAGGTTGGAGAGAGACATGAGGCTAAAGAGAGACTTGGGATCTGTGAAATGGTAGGTGGTATGGATTTGTGCTCAGCTCTGTACTTGAATTCCTGCCATGTCACAGATCCTTAGTCTCTTTTCAGCCTTGCCTCTCATACCCTACACAAGTAGTATACAAATGAGACACGAGGCTGGGAAGAGACGCGACGATCTGTAAAATGGCATGAGGCATAGATTTGCACAAATTTATTAGAAGTATTTTATAAAATTACCCTCAACTGTGTGTTAAAGGTCTATGTGAAGCATAAATTATTTCCATGTTTAGACTTGGGTCCCATTTCCAAGGTATATCATTATGCATATACAAATACAGGCATTACAACATCTAAAGCAACTTCTGGTCCCAAGGGTTGGTAAACATGTATAAACATGTATGTTAATTCAAGCAAAGCCCTGACCAGTATTAAAATCAAACAGGTCCCACAATAAAGTACAATGGCTGATGCAATCTGCAGACAGTTAGGAATACCTCTTGTTGCATCACCTCTATGGAGGAGAGCAACGATACACATAAACAAGGAATAGTCAGTGCCTCTTGATTTTTGGCCCAGATAGGCTGATGGGCTAGAAAACAATATATAATACAAGACGAGAGAGAGAGAGATCACTGCTTGTCAGTCATCACAACAGAAAAATGCTTCTGTTAACAGCTGCAGGGTTCTGAACTAATACCCCAAACATAGTGAAGGAGATGGACATTGCTGGGGGAAAAAAGAATTTTTATTTTCTTATAAAGAGATATAGCTTACCTATTGTGACTGAAGTGGATGATGCTGGATATTTCAGCCAGGGATATTAACCCTTCAAATATTGTTACCAAAAGAGAGGATATTCCATAGAAAATAAATAGCCAACTTGTATTGTTTAAGATAGCAATGACCTCAATAGAGAAGCCTGATATAAAGATGCAGAGATAAAAGTTCTGTCTTACCTGCCAAAAAGTGTAATGTAATTAATGTATAATACTCTTCCTGCTTATGTTGTAATGAAAATAATATGCCCAGACATTGATTAGTCTGTGTTTCTACCTAAGGAGAAACATAGACTACGTATAATATATAGCCTAAAGAGAATGTGTATGTTTATATATAATATATAGCCTAAAATACTAATGGCGAGCATATTCATTCCACCATTAAATTACCCAGAGATTCCAATACTTAAGAATGCTAAAGTGAAGTATTGATGTTAAATCTGCCTGTCTGGATAGTAAGATGATCACAACTTTGATGTCCAGTTGGCCAGAAAGTAATAAACTGGACCTCAGATGGATACAGATTTGCTGACAGCAAAGGCTTCTCAGTCTCAGTCTAAAGAGATAAGTTTGGAGAACTGCACCAGCTTCACAACATTTGGAAGACCCACACGCTTCTGTCGTGCCCTAAGATAAGTCCCACCGCAACACTTCAGTTTCCATTAGTTCAGTTCCCTTCACTTAATGTTGCTAACTTTTGTTCTCTAGGTGCAGCAGAGTTTGGAGAAGATTACAAAACTGGAGCAGGAGAAGGAGCACTGGATGCTGGAGGCTCAACTTGCCAAAATTCGGCTGGAGAAAGAAAATAAAAAGGTTATCAAGAACTCAGTGGGCAACCAGAGGATTGAAACAACTCAGGAAAGTTTGCTCACAGCAGAAACAACTGAACGGGAAAAGGAGGATTCTATGGAAAAGGCTTCTATGGAAGCAGTTACAAGCACAAGTCTGGTAAGTTTGTCTCATTCCACTGTATGATGGGTGAATTTGTCCTTAAAACAACAACCGTGAAGGTATGCATTGCCATTTGGCTGCCACAATAAACAAGGCATCTAGCTTCCCCTCCACTCTACAATTTCCAAATATTCATCTTCTGTTCGGTAGGAGATTGAAAATCTTTGCATTACATTTCGGTCAACAACAGTTCAATGTTATATCTGAATTTCAAGGTTTATGGAAACAAGTAAGTTTCATAAGTCCAATCTGAAGTTCACTTGTTTTCAGCATAGTTAAGATGATACAACAAGACAGAGTTCATTGAAATGGAATCAGGAATTTCTAAACTTGCCACTAGAATTTATAATTAATAATGTGGTCTATCTAATGCAGTGTTCTGAATCAGCACCCCAGATAACCAAACCAAATCTAAAGTTGACCAAAAACCAATTTGTAACTCTTTTAGTGCTAATGTTGGAGAGTGGTCCCTGGTCAAGTGATCCTTGGTCAAAGTGGTTCTTGGTCAAAAAAAGGTGGGGAACCACTGATGTAATAGGATGGGGTTAAGAAGATGTTTAACCTTTTTGCACGAGAGCCTTAGAACTTTACTGTCTAACATTTGGAGCAGAGATCAGAAAATGCTTGTTGAAACCACTGAAGTTAACTTCCTTTTAAATGGATTCTAGAATTGGAAGATAAACAATTTCACTGAACAGAATTTTTTCATTTTGATTTTTTTTTCCTAGGTTGGGATGCTGACAGTGACTACAGGAAATGAAGAGGTATAGTTTTTAATATTTCAGAGATTGAAAGCTGAATATATCAGCTAATACTAAAGCCTTTGCATTGATTTCACATGCTCCTTGTGTCCCCTCTTAAAAGATATAATGCTTCCTCATAGGGTTGCCCCTTTCTGCATCTTTCCCAGTTCTGCAGATTCTCAGTCAAGTTTCATGGACACCCAAACCACTTATTCATTTCTACCTGCTTAATTTGTGTTGGTTTTCACACTTTGATGAACTTTGTTTTTGCAAAATTGGTTTGCAGATTCCAGAAGCTGCTACCAGAGAAGACTTGATAAAGAACCACTATATGGCGAGAATAGTGGAGCTGACCTCTAAGTTACAGTTGGCTGACAGCAAGTCCGTACATTTCCATGCAGAGGTGAGTGAGCATCATGAAGCATTGGTCTTATAATAAAACTCCTTGTTTGTTTCGGGGAACACCTGAAACAATATTATTCCCCTCTGCCCCCCAGGGTGAGTTTAGAAGGAGAATGAGAGGCTTCCCAAGGGCCATGGTTCAGGACAAGTTTATGTATGTTGCCTTGAGTTCTTGTTGGGGAAAAAAGCATAATATTTTGTTTTGTGTACTATGATACATATTTTATGGTGGTATGTATTCATATGTATATTTTATGAAGTGTTTTAAAATAATTATGTGTTTGTTTATGTTTTAGTAATGCTGTAACCCGCCTTGAGCCATGAGGAGAGGCGGGCAAGAAATAGAATTATTATTATTTCATTTATATACTGCTTTTCTCTACCCCAAGGGGGACTCAAAGCGGTTCACAACAAAGTAAATGGCAAAATTCAGTGCCTCACAAAGTATAAAAACATGGCACATAACTAAAGTAGCATATACTAAAAAACTAAAATCATGAACTATAAAACACCAGCCATAAACAGCATAACATAAAACATTGGACATTGCACCAATCACAAAGTTATCTTGGCTGCTTAATCTCACTCTCCAAATGCTTGCTTTAAAAGCCACGTTTTGAGTGATTTCCTGAACATCAAGAGGGAGGGGGCCCAATTTGATCTTGTTGGCGAGGAAGTTCTACAACTGAGGCGCTACCACCAAGAAGGCCCTGTCTTTCGTCCCCACCAGTCGCAACTGTGAGGGCAGTGGGATTGAGAGCAGGACCTCCTCAGCCGATCTCAATGCTCTAACTGGCTCATAGAAGGAGATATTTGATTATCATCATCATCATTATCCTCCTTGAGTCACCTTCGGGTTTGAGAAAGGCAGGATAGAAATAGCATAAATAAATAAATAAATAAATCATCATAATAATATTGATTATGAGGATGGTGACAAGGATGATTGAAAGCAAGTAGTTTTGGAGAGGTAGAGGAGTGAAAAGACTTTGGGACGTGACCCATTTCTGATGATGGAACAGATATGCCAGAAGGAATAGCAAAAGAGAAGCAGAGATTGGGATCTCGAAAAGGATGAGATGATGAACAGGAATGAGAGATGGAGATTAGCTGGTGATTCCAGGGTGCGAAGGCTACCAAGCAGCTGCAAGGAGCAAGATCTGCATTATGTTTTTCCTTAAAAGATCATCTGACTAAAACATTGTGGGTTTGTGTTTGATTTGACAGTGCCGAGCACTTGCAAAACGTCTCTCTCTAGCGGATAAGTCTAAAGAGTCCACACTGGAAGATATGAGGCTAGCAAAGCAGAGCATCACCAGATTGCAGGCAAGTTAAATTAATTGTTGCTGGTTGGGTTGGGAGTGTGGGGAATGCATATCTAAAGTTGCACAGCTTTCCCTCTGCAAACACTGGGGTTAGAAGCACAGGATTCCAATGAAAGTGAAAAAAAGTAAATAAAAATTGGCATTACCAAATGTTAAAAGGATTATGTTAAAATAATGTTAAAAGGATTAGGGGAGGAATTAATTAACACATTGAAAGCATATTTATGCAGAGAAAACCAAAATAATTTGGTTATGTAGTCAGCCCCCTACATTTGAAGGTTTGATTTTTGCAGATTAGATTATTCACAAATTTGATTGAAATGTTCTCTCCAGAATCTTTTAAGTCTTCCATACAATTTTATGGTCAGTCTCCACCAGTAGTTGACTGTAGAATCACACTGGAAGATCTAGAGATTCCTAGATAAATGTTCAAAGACATGAGATTCCTAGAGAGATGTTCTCCAGGATGACCATGGTCTTATTTTCTCTATCTCTGCCTGCCATCTGCTTTATGGGACATTGGTAGATTGATAGTAACATCACCACATTACTGAGTAGTTTTGGGGAGGAAGTGACGGCATCATTTATTGGTCTTTCAGGATGAATTAGCAACGACCAAGAGAAGCTATGAAGATCAGTTAAGCATGATGAGCGACCACCTCTGCAGTATGAACGAAACATTATCCAAACAACGAGAAGAAATAGATACATTAAAGATGGCTAGTAAGGTATGTAATCTCAGTGTTATGAGCTATAATTAGAGTGTACCACATTTTTATTCTGACTTCATCATGATATAGGATATTGGTGAAGTAAAAGAATCAAGTCAAGTGTTGATTTTGTTTTTGTATCTTTCTGGATGTTGAATTTGCCTAAACCATGAGATAAATAAAGAAACAGTAATAAATATTCAGCCTATCCTGATCTTTTATTTCATATGTAAGGAACATCTTTTCTCATGAGTAGTAACTCATATTGGTTACATAATATCATCATAAATATCACTTATTATTACACTTTACGTATGCCCATTTCAGTTGATAATGATAATGGAAAGAGAGTATTTGTGTTTAATTCTTAGTACTAATTGAGTACCTTTTATCCAAAATGCTTGGAACCAGAAGCGGTCTATATTTTGGATTCTCCCCCTCCCCAAATTTTGCGAATACCCGCCTGTACATATTTATGGAGACAATATCCAAGTCTAAATAAGTTCATTTTTGCTTTATATGCATCTTATACACTTAGCTTGACAATAATTTCATAAGAATTTTGTTTTTAATTTTGTGCATGAAACAAAGTTTATTTACATTGAAACATCAGAAAGCAAAGTCACTATTAGCCACCGATGTAGATGATTTTGGGTTTTAAAATATTTAGGATTTCAGAATTCTGGAAAAAGGATACCGAGTCTGTATTAGCATTGTGCTAGGTCCACTCCAGAGTGTTTGAAGCATTTTAGCTGTGGACCGATGGGTGATGATGGATGAAGAGGAGAGGGATTTTGTCTGTTTATAGGATGTTCTTTGCAGGCAGGTATTGTATTTAAAAATGGAGCAGCATATAGTGGAGGCAAACCTTTCAACTGATGGCAGAAAGTATGGAAGAGACTATCGTGGGTCGGGGGGAACTTTCCAGATGAATGTGTTTGGAGGAAGTGACAGGGTGGCTTAATACAGGGGGGAACTGTTCTGACCTGTTCATGGATTTATATTATACTTCTGTGCCTCCTGAAAGGCCACAGATGACAGGCAAGAAAAGCAATCAATTCCTGAGTCATCAAACTGGTGTTGTGGAGAGAGAGAATGGAGACAGGCTGTTTGTAAAGACCTTGCCTTTGGCTAGATTGCCCAGCTGAAGAGCACTCAAATACAAATTGCAGGAGAATGAACAGGGAATCTGACACTTGTGGTGGAAGCAATAGGAAAGCTCATGTAGGAAAATACCCATTTATTCATGTTGTAGCTGGCAGAAGAAGCCCTCCCTCCCTAGAATCCACCTGTTTTGTGAGGTCTTATTTTAATCCCTTTGATCTTCTGTCCCCTGAAATAAATGAAAGGATTATAAGTGGTAGACGTGCGTATTCTACCCGTGTTATCCTTGTCTCTCTTTCCCATGCTTCCCTGCTGTTTATATAACTATGCAGAGTGTTCTGTGCACTGACACAGTGTTGACAAAAGCACTCCTGCTATGCTGAGCTAGCGCATGTACTCCAGTTTTTAAATGAATATGACATAGATCTTCTTAGAAAATGTTTTATCTTTAATAAAAGTAAATTTTGACACACACGTGTGCGCGCACTGGATTCTTTTTACTACGATCTCCCATGATCTGCTGGTGTATGTTGAACATTAAAAATGAGAATAAATATTAACAATCTCATAAAAGTTGAGGCATAATTGATTGCAGATGAACGGTCCTGAGGTGGTAGTATTGGCTGCTTCGGCATATGCGCACTCTGCTGAATCAAACTCAGAGTTATTTGCAAAAGTCTCAGCATCCAACAAGCACCATGCGCTCTGCTAAAAATCAGAGGCTTGATATTCATGGGGACATAATTTAAAAAATGGTTTGCATTTTGAATTTCTTTCCGTAAAGAAAACAATTCATTCTGATTGTGGACAGGTTTTCAATTGAGTAAAAGATCCTACAGATTTATTTATTTATAAAGCCCAACTGCTCACTGGAGGGAAAGACAAAAGTTGAAGTACTTTGGCCACATCATGAGGAGACAGGAAAGCCTAGAGAAGACAATTATGCTGGGGAAAGTGGAAGGCAAAAGGAAGAGGGGCCGACCAAGGGCAAGATGGATGGATGGCATCCTTGAAGTGACTGGACTGATCTTGAGGGAGCTGGAGGTGGTAACGGCCGACAGGGAGCTCTGGCGTGGGCTGGTCCATGAGGTCACGAAGAGTCGGAGACGACTGAACGAATGAACATCATTAGTTAGTTAGTGTCAAAAGCAACTAAGTAATTTTTGACCAAAAACGAGCAACAGCAACCATATTATCTGTAGCTTTAACCAATTCTTCCTCTGTGCATGAGGCAGGGCATTGTGGACAAGCATACAGATGTGGAATTGTTTGTTCTGCTCCACAGTTGCGCAAACAGATTATCTTTCGTTTAGCTCATTCTACTTCAGAGTTTGTTCAGGGACTTACAGGTTGGCCATTCTTGGGTTGTCTCTGGAGGCAGACCCTCATTGGGGGGGGGGGGACCATCTAATTGGTTTAGCTGCCCAGAGGCATGCTCTTGCTATTGCTGGGAGTGGTGGTTCTCATGAAGGTTTCCCTTGATTTGAGTCTACTGGAAGGAGGCTGATAGCCATGCAGTGGATGGCTTTCACAGTGTTCAACCTTATTTCTCTCACAGTTAGCAGCAACTTCCTGTCGCACATCGGGGGGGGGGGGGGGGCAATGCCGGCTAGATTGTAGAGTTTATTAGCAGGTGTAGGTTTGAGACATCATGTGATTATTTTGCATATTTCATTCAGTGCTTTGTTCACCTGCTTCACATGAACAAACTTGTGCCAGGCATACTCAGCAGTTGAGTAATATGGAAGGCCATCACCATCATCAGGCTCTGTTACTATGTGCTTCAAGCTAGCTGCAATCTATTATAGCCTTGCCCTAGTGGGGGTTTTTTTCTTGGCAAGATCTATTCAGTGTAAGTTTGCCACTGCCTTCCTAAAACTGAAAGTGGGTTACTTGCCCAAAACTACTTCCTGGGTTTCTGAGGTTGAGAAGAGATCTGAACCTCCTTGACTGGAGTCCCAGTCCAACAGTTAAGCCACTTCACTCACTCTCTACCCATAAACTATTATTATCATGCAATTTTACAACTTTTGAAGAACTACAGCTGTTCTGTCACAGCTGCTATTTTTATGACTGGAACTGATGTCTGTTTTGGAGAAATATAGGGAATCTTGCTGTTTTAGGATGTAGGTGCCTGAAAACAGCATGTTTGAGTAATATAAAACAGTTGTACTCAAAGTGGTGGTTCCAGTCCATGATCCATTGGGTGGTGGTCCCTAAGATGAAAAGAAACAATAGCAGCCAGTGGTTCTAGATGGGAGTACTGGTCCCTGAAACATTGGAAAAAAGGACTGCTAGTGCTCAAATTCATCAGATAGTTTGAAAAACACTGGGTTAAAGCAATGTTGGGCCAAACATTGTGTGATGTGGCCAGAAGTGAAGGTCATTTAGGGCTCCAAAAGGTCACTCATCTGTGGGCCACCCAATTCCAGTGAATATTTTTAAAAGATATAAAGACTTTAGGCAGATGGAAAAATAATGCATATATCTTTATGTCTTCTACCTTGGTGTGAGACTCTGCTTATAGGATGTTCCTGCTTTCAGAAATGAACTTGGGATTCAAGCCAAAACTGAATGCCTTTATTGACAGATTTCATTATCTAATCAACACTGTTTGTTTTATCTGAGGCATTTTTGTAGTTCTTCCACATTTCAGTATTTATATTATGTGGTAGATATTTTGTGTGCACTGGCAATATATATAGTCAGCAAAACCAAGACATTAGCTGACTTTTTGGCAATCTTGACCACAGATGAAATCTGGTACTAGTAATGTTCCCAAGCTTCTAACTAGGATAACATATTTGTGGTTTCTAAAGGCTGTGGAATCTGTAAAGCTTTTCCCCTAATGTCTGTTTTTTAGTGGAATGGGTCTTTTTAATGGAGCTGGCAGACAAAAGCTTTAATCACAGGAACAATGTGATTCTTAAGACTGTCTGCACTGAAATCTCAGATTGCTCAACTTTGCAAAGAGATGCCTTGTTCAGTTTGCACAACATATTTGATATGTTGGCTCTTTCAAATAGTATACAAGAAAATAATTGACTTTTTGTTTGTGGGGATGAGGTATCTTTAAACTTTGTCAGTGGCACCCAGGTTCTTCTAGGTGAGCAAGTTGAGGAATTGTGTGTCCAGCAATTGATTTTGTTTCCCTGAGGAACTGCTGAAGTCCCCAAGCCCTCCAAGAATACAGGCCCTTTGCAACTTTTTTCAAAACTTGGAAGTTCATTGTACATCTTTTAGAAATTGTGAAACTCACCAATGTACCTTATTGATTTAATTACATGCTCCACATTTCTTTCGGCACAGAATTCAAGGCAATTTACAGCTGCTAAACTAACGTTTACCAAAGTTCTGTTTTTGTTTTTTTAAACCAATTAAAACAAGTGTAAACACATTTAGAACATAATAAAATTGAAACACAACATCTTCCTAGAAAAGGGTCCATTTGCTGAAACATATCAAAACCCAAAATCTTCAGTTAGAGGGGATGAATGTTCCTACAGATACCCACAGGAAAGCTTTGATACCCACAGGAAAGCTTTGCAGGTATAAGGTCCCAAGTTGAGTCTGCACTGTAAAATTCATAAAGTTTGACCCCATTTGCTCAATGCTGTAGAATCCTAGGTGCTGTAATTTGGTGAGGCATCAGCCCTCTTAGAAAAAGCTAAAGGTCTTGTAAAATTATATCTCCCAGGATTTAGCAGCATTGACTCAGCAGTTAAAGTGGTGTCCAGCTGCATTAATTCTAGTGTTGATGCACTCTTTGGCATCTTCAGGTTCAGAAAAAGAAAAGAAATATTATAGAGCAAGTGATGCGAGATACCTGCATGTGAGTCAGTGGAGAATGCTGCCAATAATAGTGGAGTGAAGGAAATGGACAAGGTATGGCCAGGCATTGTCTAATCAGGTAGAAAGCAGCATCTGTGATGATATAACATGTGCTCTCTTCTTGATCTAGGGAAATTCCAAGAAGAACAGAAGTCGATAGTATTGGTTGGCCAGCTGTCTTCCGGATGACGCTGCTTCACAGAGACACAGACGCTGGACCTGGTATTCAGCTAGCAAATCCTCTCTTGGCTGGATGTGGCCGCAGTGGTGGAGTTAACCCATATGTGTTTTCTTTGGTGTTGTGGGTGGGTATGAGGCCACACTGACTTGGGTAGCTGGCATCATGCAGTGCGAATGTGGCATTGCCAGTAAAGTGGATCGGAAAATACTTGCTCTGTGGATAAACTACATAGGAATTAACCATGACTTTTTATTGTATACTTTGTAACTACCTTTCATGTCCATGTACAAACTTTTGAGATTTTGTATATTTGAGTGCATATTTAGGCAATCAGATCTGCTATTGATGTGGTAGTTGTCTTTTCCTGCCCTAAGAGATTGTTATCCTGCCCGTCCCTCTTTCTGTGAGTAAAACTAAAACTATGCTAACCACTGAGTTAAGAATATTCCTCAGCTGCATCCTCCTGTGCCGTTGTTGTGAAATGTATTACAGATTCCAGTCTTCTCTTCCAGTCTAGCTTAGAAGATTGCCTGAGAGAGGCAGTCCCCGTACATTTATATTGAAACATTGAGTACAACTGTGACTAATGCCACTTCATATTAACTGTTACAGCAATTAAAAAGTGTACAATAGTGGTCTTCTAAAATCAAGTGTAGAAAGTGGGCCAAAGAAACGGCCTGTGCAAAATCAGGCTGAAGAGTGGCATTTTGGGCATTCGTTTGTGTTATTACTTTCCATGCAGATCTGATAACAGTGAAATACCCAGTAGTATATTTGAGAAAGATGTAAATAGGAAGGCCACTGAAAGGAAGATTTCTTTTTCCACAAAAAGACATTTTCACCTACAGAAGAGTGAGATGACATTCACAGTTGAGTATCAGTTTCAGATGAAGGTTGATTAATACAGACTAAGAAATCACTGGATTAGGAAAAGTCTGCACAGAAGGGCTGGTCCAGATACTGATAGGCCCAGAAGTAAGCCTAAATGGGAAGTGAAAGGCAAAGTGCTTGGATTTGGGAACTTTTCGGCATTCACACATAACAGGGTAACTGATTTTCATTGAGGGGTTGGTGTGGAGATCCCTATGCACCTTCATGCTGGTTTCACCTCACTTACTCCATGTGGTAACATCGGTCTTTGCTCCTGAAAACTAGTAGTGTTTTCTGGTGGTAGAACGTAGCATTATCAGAGCCTGAGCCAATCCTAAACTTTCGCAAATTTGGGCCCTCGAGATATTGTTTGACTGCAACTTGAAGCATTCTGAGCAGGCACAGGCAATGGTGAGGAGTACTGGGAATCCCAACAACATGAGCAAGCTGCTCTCTTCTCGTCCCCTGCCTAGGCTGGTTGTTCCAGGGACATTTTGGAATTTATTGATTGATGTCTTAGTATTCTAAATTTATTCTTTGCACTTTTTCTTGTGAGCAGTTTGTTTACACCTATGTGAAGTCTTCTCAGCACAGTATTCCATGAGAGATTTCTGCCATCTGTTTGCAAGAGGTTCTGCTACTGAATATTTTACACTGTTGCTCTGTGAGGGAAAGTAACTGCCCTATATTCAAGGGTTACTCAATTGTATCAACCATGTCAATGTGTATGATGAGCATAAAATAAATATACTGCCAACTTATCTCTTCCTTTTGGAAATGTCTTGTGTCTGCTTTTTGTGTGCACAGCGAATGTGAGTTTGAACATGACTACCACTAGTTTTCAGGATGTATTTTCAGTATTTCAGTATGTGGAACAATATGGCTATATGTCTTGGCTGTTGAGAGGATGGGAGGATTTTATGTTGAAAGGTAATGTCATTTTGGAAAAAAATACCTGTCTTTAAGATTGGTCTTAATGCAATGATTTTAAAATAAGAAGTAGCCACAAATCACTCAGAAAGATAGGATGTTGCGTGAGGTTTAACTGACTCTCAGACAAGCAAATGTGCAAATTCAGTTGACAGTGATTTTAAAACTATGTTCATATTACTTTGCAAACTCCTGTTATCTCTGCTCAGACTTAGAGATAGGGATGCAGCTGTTAAAGGGGGAGGCCAAGGGAAAACATCTGGTGACAGGATTTATGAAGAGCACATACACGGAGAGAAAGATTTATTTATCTATATTAGGAAAGGAAATTGTAACTTCTCTGGAGAATTTGAATGTTTCCAGGGTGAGCTGAGGGCACATCTGCATGATAGTTTTCCCTATATCCATCCACATACAGAGTGGGATATAAGTGAATAAGAGACAGCCTATTTGGACTATTTAGTTGTGATCAGAATCTCCAGATGAACTGGATTTTTCCCTTTCCTATTTAGCTCACAAGTGCTGTAACCCTTGAGTGCTGCTCTTGACACTCAGTAAAACACAGCCAAATCCCTCGTATGTTTAGAGTTCACTGCCTACTGGAAGTTCACTTATTCCCTGCATTTATTAGACTTCTTTCCCAAGCTGTGCAGAAGAAAACATAATAATACAAAATATGAATGCCTGACACTCTTGGATGAAATGAATGTCTGGATCCAATTCAGTCTAGCTTCAGGCTTGAATTCTGCAGTGAAACAGTGTGATTGACATCTTTGGTTAAGAGACAGATGGGAGGAGTATAACCCTATTGATTATTACTGGCCTCAATAGAATGTGATATCACTGATTGTGAAACTTTGCTAGATCAATTATATGGGCAGAGAGGTCATAAAGCAGTCGCTCCCATAGAAAGTACTGGCATTGTGGAATTTCCGCTTTACCCTATGACATGTGTTATGGTGCAGGAAAGTGGCCCATGGCTTTCAAGAGACCTTGTCAACACTGTACAGAATGACATCACACAGCCCAAACAGGCTTTTGGAGTAGGTTAATATTACGTTTAGCACAATCAAGAGGTCTTGTTGTAATATTCATCCTAGCCTGACAAATCAGTAAGTAAAAAAATAGCATCACCCAGCACACATGCTGGCAACTCTGTTTTGGCTTTTGCACTGTGGAGGTTTTTAATGTGAGCTTTATAAATTTGTTTTTGAAGATCACACTCTCATGACAGAAACTGGGGAGCATGCTACTGTCTTGGAAGTTGTGTTGTCCCATTGCGTATTAATTTGGAAGGGGTGTGTATCAATCAAGGTTATAAGGACGTTCTGTCTTCCTATTGATGGAATATATTTGGGGTGTGTTCTCTGCTTTAACATCTGCTGCATCCTTTAATCACCAGCTAAGTTGTCTTTTGCTTATGTCAGTTCTAATATCAAATGAATCCCTTGGAAACCTGGAGTAGTACCAGAACATAGAGAACATAGAGGATTCCATACAGTTCCTCCCATCTTCTGTTTGAAGCCACTGGACCAGCTGAGGTTTTGTAAGATAAGTGTTATCGACCTCTGTTTTTCTTGGATCAGGTGGGGTTGAACAAAATGTTGAACCAGAACCAGGTCATGGCAAATACAATCCTTTATTGATAGTTTATGGAAATGAGAGTGAAATAGTGGGTCAGGTTGGCCTTGGGACCCACTGGAGTATACATTTGTTCACATACATATTGAGGCACACTTGTCAACACAGTGCAGTAAGTCCACAGTTATTGCATTCCTCAAATACTTAAGCTACCACACGTACATTTACAAACTATTTTGGGGTATTTGAGATCAAGACTTAAGCTTTCTGGAAAAATCATGTTTTGTCTTTCTAAGCTCCTGTGTTTGGGACAAAATCTGAACCCTAAATACTTTCCTTATCCATGTGTTAGATTTAATTGTTCTTTTTAACTCTCTTCAAAGTGTTTTTGTCAAACCAACCTGCAACTGCTCAAAATAATGTGTGCTGCCCTTATCTGAGCCAGAGAAGTCAGAGAACTGGAGAATGTTTGGAAAGGTGTTTAACAACTATTTGGCCTAGAACACAGCTTCAAATTTAAGATATACAATAAATGAACTTTTTTTTTTGCAGATAGATTTCTTCTTGGCCCTCTCCCTCCAACAATATTGAGTAGATAGGCTGGGAATTGCATGGCACATCAGATCAACTGTATTTCCCAGCATATTTCATCACTGACCATGTTGGCTGTGGCTGATGGACACTGCAGTCCTTCAGTATCTCAAGGATTGCATGATTCCCATCTCTGTTGTAGATCTTGTGGTGAGAGAACTTCCCTTGTTCAATAAGGTTGGAATTCTAGTCAGTTTATGATAGATTAATCAACTGAGCTTCAAACTGATTAAGAGCAGGATTTATATTGACTGGAAAATGGTTTTCTAAGGTCATATTATGATCAATGACTGTCCTAGGAAATCAAAAATAATAAGTAGGATTTTCTTCTGCCACCTGTAGCATTGATTTTGTTCCTGAATGTATTTCAACAGTTTACATTGTATATAGTTATTATACCAGTTCACAGAAGATATTTTAAATTGCATTAACTGACTAAAAGCAGATAATTGATTTGCAATAAATAATAATATTTGTAAATATGTATGCCAAACGCTTGAATGTTTGTAAATGCCCAACAGGATGACAGTCGACATGTTTTTACTTGAAGGAAGGATGACACCAATGTTGGCATGAATCATGCCTCTAAAGGGGAGGCATTCATAACTGGGGCATCACAGCTGAGAAGATGGCACAACAAGGAGGTTGGTCTATAGCTTATAAAAAGCACTGCTTGAATATCAAGCAAAAAGTGGGTGCTAGAAATAATATCATATGAAAGCTGACTGGCTTAGCCAGGGGATCACAACCAGACACAGTGAAGACATCTGCCCTTGCGCTTTGCTACTCTGCTGCTGAATATGCATGCTCAGTATGGAATACATCTCACCACGTTAAAATAGTGGATGTGACTCTTAATGAGACATGTCGCATTATCACTGGAGATAATTATACCACACCATTGGAAAAATTATACACCTGACATCCGCCGGGAAGTAGCAGCCAGCAATGAAAAGACCAAAGCATTGACATCTTCAGCCCATCCTCTGTTCAGATAACAGCTAGCATGCCAACAACTTAAATCAAGAAATAGCTTCCTAAGATCTACAGAGATACTCGCAGGAGCACCTCAGCAAGCGAGAATCCAAAAGAGGCAGGCTAAAGCCCAGCACCTAAATCAGTGGCTGAGACCAGATGAGAAACTCCTTCCTGGGCACATAGAAGAGTGGATGACCTGGAAGGTGCTGAACAGGCTATACTCTGGCACAACAAGATGCAAAGCTTAATTAAGAAATGGGGCTACACAGAGGAGTCCACGACATGTGAGTGTGGAGAAGAGCAAACCACAGACCACCTATTACAATGCAGCCTGAGCCCTGCACAATGGAGGACCTTTTTATAGCAACTCTGGAGGCACTCCAAGTGACCAGCTATAGGTCAAAGGACATTTAATAGAATGTCAAGTTTTTAAACTTTGTCTTTTTTAAATACACCCTCAGTTTGCTTCTGGTAAGATACAATGATAGGTTCTTCAGAGATTGACTAAGCATTCATCCTCTGCCACTCTGTCCAGAAAAGGGGATTATTCCTTTATCAATAAGAGTTAAGGTATGGTATTTACACTGATGAATAGATAGGTCAACCCAAGTTTTTTGGGTCAATGTTTTGACTAAAATGTCTAGATTTATATATGAATATGCGTAGTACCAAACAACAGGAGAGAAAAAGCATATGTAAACCAAGAATAGAGAGAGAAGATTTGCCGGCTCAGCCAATTCCCTGTCAGAGCTAATTTGACACATAGACAATCAGACTTAAATGATGGGAAAGTGTTTTCAAAAATGAAATTGAATATAGTATATATTTTGGAAAGGTGGAGTGTATATTTATCCACAAAACACCCAGGAGGTAGTTATACTGTTTGAAGATGAGAATTACACTTAAGGGCTTAACCAAAATAGAACTGCACTTTTGCCCCAAAGACGTGTACAAATCCATAAAGCTCTAAGTGATTTGGTGCTCCAGCACTCTAATGTAAACTGGAGAAAGGACAGGAAATGAAACAAGATTAGGTTGTAATGGCAGATTAATGGCCCTGCAGCTTTTGCATTCAGCAGCTCCATCTCTGCTTGTTTAAGTTTCAGAACAAGAAGTAATTGTTTGAAAGAATCTCTGGGATGGATGGGGGCGGTGGAAGAGAACACCATTATTTTCTTGTACCTACGAAAGACTTGACCTTTCAGGGCAGCGATGAATAGCAGTGGGAGAGAAAAAAATAAATAGATTTGCTTCTAAAGCTGAGCTGCTTTCTGCTTTGTGTGTGCTGGCATGTCTCGAGGACTGACACGTGTCCACTTACCAACTCAGCAATTGCTCTATTCTTTTCAAAAGAATGATTTCTCTGTATGGCTGTGCAGGGGTGTCATTAAACAGAAGAATAAAATGTTTGCAAACTTTGTCTCCATGAAAGACAAGTATAATTATATTATTGGATCTATTCTTCACACTAAATACATGCCAGAAAAAAGCGTTAAACAACTACCAGAGAACAAAGGCACTGGAGCAAGCACTTACTTTGCAAGTCAACTGAGTTGGGTCATTTTTAAACTTGTGCACAGATGCATTTTGGCCGTTTGTCTTTGGCTTCTTCGGATGCCTGTAATGTCTAGGGCCTCACTGCCATGTTCTCCCAGCAGAACCAAACCACATGGCTGCCAGT